CCTAAGAAACTAGGTGATCCAGGCAGCTATTCAATCCCAGTGAAGCTGGGAGATATAGAGATCAATAGAGCGCTATGCGATCTTGGTGCAAGTGTAAGCCTTATGCCGCTCTCCATCTGCGAAAAGCTTCAAATGGGTGAGCTAAAGCCTACAAGGATATCTCTGCAACTTGCAGACAGGTCAGTTAAATTTCCCCTCGGTATACTTGAAGATGTTCCATTGCGAGTTGGTAAATTCTTTATTCCATGTGATTTTTGTTGTTATGGAAATGGAAGAAGATGCCCATGTCCCTATTATTCTTGGTAGACCATTCTTAGCTACTGCAGGTGCAATTATTGACATGAAGAATGGGAAAATAACATTTGAAGTAGGGGATGAGAAAATGGAGTATTCATTACTGAATGCTATGGGAAATCCGTCTATGGGTGAGACTATTTGTCAAGTGGATGTCCTCGATGATCTACAACAAGAACAACTTCCCCTGATCAAAAAGGAAGATGCTCTTGAAACGGTGTTGATAGGAAGTATCCATGATGAAGATTGGGAAGTAAGGGAGTACACGAGGCTACTAGAAGACGCAAAAGCTAATCCAATCATCGCTCCAGTCAAGGAAGTCCTTAGTACATCGAGTGTTGGGGAGAGTTCGACGCCTCCCGAGGTAGAGTTGAAACCCCTTCCATCTAATCTTAAATATGCATATCTTGGTCCTAAAAATACATACCCTGTTATTGTTAATGCTGAGCTTAATAACATTGAATTAGAGAAACTTCTCGCTGTTTTAAGAAAATATAGAAATGTTATTGGGTATACCATTGATGATATCAAGGGTATTAATCCCTCTTTTTGTATGCATAAGATCATTCTTGAGGACGATCATGCCTCCTCTAGAGAACCTCAAAGAAGGCTAAATCCAACTATGATGGAGGTAGTCAAGAAAGAGGTTCTCAAATTGCTTGCTGCAGGAATAATCTACCCTATCTCAGATAGTAAGTGGGTTAGTCCTGTACAAGTAGTACCAAAGAAAGGAGGTATGACAGTTGTCAAGAATGACAAAGGCGAGCCTGTTGCCACAAGAACTGTTACAGGGTGGCGGATGTGCATTGATTACAGAAAATTAAATAAAGCCACCCGTAAAGATCATTTCCCCTTGCCTTTCATTGATCAAATGCTCGAACGATTGGCTAACCATTCCTTTTTCTGTTACTTGGATGGATATTCCGGTTTTTTTTCAAATCCCCATCCGCCCTTGTGATCAGGAAAAGACTACATTCACATGTCCATATGGCACCTTCGCATATCGCAGAATGCCATTCGGACTGTGTAATGCCCCAGCCACGTTCCAACGGTGTATGATGGCTATTTTCTCAGGTCTCATAGAAAATTCTATGGAAGTTTTTATGGATGATTTTTCTGTTTATGGTTCATCTTTCGATATTTGCCTTGATAATCTAACAAAGGTGCTCCATAGATGCCAGGATGTCAATCTGATATTGAACTGGGAGAAGTGCCATTTTATGGTACAACAGGGAATCGTTTTAGGCCATGTAGTTTCAAACAAAGGGATTGAGGTGGACAAAGCCAAAGTAGAGGTAATAGAGAAACTTCCCCTCCAAATTCTGTGAAAGAAGGAGAGCAAGTCCTTCTATTCAATTCAAGGTTGAAACTATTTCCAGGGAAACTCAGGTCAAGATGGTCGGGCCCTTTCACGGTCTACAAAGCATATCCTTATGGCACCATTGAATTATGGAACAACACCGGGGGCACCTTCAAAGTCAATGGACAAAGGGTGAAGCACTATCGAGCGGGAGATCCTATTGAAGAAAAGTCAGATATCACATTCTCTTCCTCACCACAAACTCAATGAGGATGAATACGGTCAAGCTAATGACCTTCTAAACAAGCGCTTGCGGGAGGCAACCCGATTCTTTTTGAGGAGCCGTCGAGATTCCTATGCTCTCCTTAAGCTGCAATGAGGCCATTGCCGCATTTAGCTTGGGGGAGTTGCTTCGTACATGTGGTACTCTCTCTCTCCTTATCTCTCTTATCTTTCTTGTTTTATTTTAGTGTAGTTATTTTAGTTGTTTTTTTAAAAAAAAAAAAAAAAAAAAAAAAAACATACAAAAAATACGATCCAATGAATAATAAATCATGCTTCCCTGTGCCCCATTCATGAAAATTGTTTTAATTCTTGGTATATGATGACGAGTATTGTGGATAGGTTAGCCATGATTTGATGTTTGATTACTTGGATGTCTTAACATGAGTCAATTTTGCCCAACTACTTGTAAATATAGTGCTTGACTAGTTGATTTGGTTAGGAATGTGTGTTAGTTCCTGGTATGTCAATGAAGTTGAGTATTGGTTTATAACTTTGAGTAATGTTTGCATGACTCATTAATATGCACATTGAGGAGGACGAAGGCATTTGTTCCTCTAGGTGGCTTTCAGACGATATTAGATACATTTGTTCCCTTCTTGCTACCCATGTTGTTGCTTGTGCCCTTTTATTGTTTATTTTGCCACATTACAAGCCTATTTAAGCCCCATTGGTTACTAGTCCCAAGCTTGGCTTGGGGGAGCTAATAGTGAGTGAGGTGAGGGAGTTGTAGTGTGCATGTAATCTGCACAATTTTGGGTGGATTTGAGAAGTTTTTATTTGTTCTTATTGTTGTGGATTGAAAAAATTGAAAATTTATTGTGCAAAGAAAAAAAATTCCAATGTGAGATGAAAAAAAAAGGGAAAAGAAAGAGCAAAAGAAAAAATTGTTTCAATGTTCAAGTGTTCTAATTGAAGGCTGCTCAAGAAAAAAAAGGAGAGTTCAAAGTTTGTTTGTTCACTCAAGTTCTATAATTTTATATTTTGTATATATGAGTGAAATTTTAAGTGTTGGAAATTTTTAATATAATTGGATGTTTGGTGAATTTTTGGTAGAGTTGAGTTGTGTTGGAGATGATTTGGTCATTAATTCATTTTGACCTTGGTTTTTATTTATTAGGATTTTGGCTCCCTTAAGCATAGCTTTACTCTTACATTTTCCCAAATATTTCCTACCTTTTATCCTAGCCTTACATTACAAGCTTTGAAGACCTTCTGACCTTTGTGCATAGAGTTGTGTGAATGTGAAATTAGTTGTTTTCCAATGCAAAGAATGATTTGATATATTTCGAGTCGACTGCTAGGTTGAGTGCTTGTTTTCTTTAAACACACGAGTGCGTGAGTTTGGGAGGGCATTGTTCACATTTAAAGGAGTTGGATGGAGAGCGATCGAGTATATCTTTTACTCGCCACATAAATGAGAGTTGAGTGTGTGAACACTAGTCTTGAATTCTATATGCTCTTGTGGTTTGCTCTATGTGACTATTGTCAGACAGGATGAGTAGTCAGATGGATTTGATTGGTTGACTTTGATGCATAACTGTCGAGTTTACCTTTAATCGTATTTATTGATTTGAATTGCTTTTGGGGTGAAGTATTGATTTATTTATTCATTGCTTTGCTTAGGGACAAGCAAAGGTTTAGCTTGGGGGAATTTGATATACGTGTTTTATACAATGGTTTTCCCCGGTTTTACTTAGTAATTTTATATGGTTTTGAGCTCTACGGAGCCATTTCTTGCTAACAATCTCTTCTTTAGTGTATTCGATTGTTTTAGTAAGCTTTTTCAGGAATATGAAGCGTTTCTAGGCAATTGGACGTGTTTTTAGTAGATTCGGAAGAGTTGATAGCCAAGAACTGCAATTTATGTGGAGTGCCCGACCGGGCATGGCTTGCCCGGGCAGACCGGGCAATGAAGAGTTCACAGGAAGAAGCCCAATTCTGAACGGTGCAACGCGCGCCCGATCGGGCAGGCTTCGCCCGGTCAGACCGGGCGATGAAGAAGTCAAGTTATGAAGATGCAATTCTGGAAACGTGTTACGCGCGCCCGACCGGGCGAGGTTCGCCCGGTCTGACCGGGCAAAGAAGGAAAACTGTCGTATTTTACGCAGCCTTCCTCCGCCCGATCGGGCGAGGTTTGCCCGGTCTGACCGGGCGATGTTCAAGATTGCGCGATTTCAGCTATTTTCCGAATTTCTATCTTTTGAGGGTATAAATACCCTTTTGTAATTAACTTTTAAAGTTAGTTTTTCATTAGTTTTCTCCTTAAGCCCTAGAAAACTCTCAAGAACCCTAGTTTTATTTTCTTAAGCAATTTTCAATCTTTAATCCTAGTTTTATTAATTGTTCCTCAAGAATTCAAGATCATCAATTGAAGTATTTGGTATTTCTTACTTTCCATCTCTTTTATTTATTTTATAGTTCTTTAATTATGTGTTCTCTATTAGATCTTGTTTTTGATTTAATTATGATTTGTGAGTAGTTTCCTTAATCCGGGATCTTGCTAAGCCCGATTATGATTGATGTATAAAGTAGATCTTTAAATTCCCCAATAATAATCCCAATTGACATGCTTAATTGATTGTGTTTATGCCAATACTAGATTAGGGATAATTAGTATTGTTATCATCCCTTTGTTCTTATTGCAACGGAAGTTGGGTATTAACGGGATTAGGTTATTTCAATTAAGGGTTTGAAGATCATCACGGAAGTAGATGATTGAATAATTAGGAATCTAGGCATGGTGTTTAATGTCCCTTATTCGCTTGATTCCACGGAAGTAGGCTTGATAGTTAATTTGGGAAGCCATTGATAACTCGGAAGAGACCTTTGGTATTATTATTAGGGATTGCTTTTCTTCTTGTCAATTGATTTATATATTGGGGGTAGATTTATTAGTTTATCAATCATAATCGTGGTGATGCTTGATCTTGGATGCTTTAGTTTATTGATTAATATTTCCTCTAGTTAATTGTGTTATTTAATAAATTAGTTGATTATTATCATCCATTATTGATTGGTCACGTGCTTAGTGATTAATTGAGTCTGATTAATTGAATGAACCATAGTCTCTTGGGATTCGATCCTTACTTGCCCTACTACACAGTTAGAAGGAATAGTTAGGTTAAATCGAGGTCTTCATAGATGCCATAACCCAAACCATCTCACTTGTAGTCTGTGACATACTTCGATATTCAGACTCACATGAAGATTTGGAGACTGTTGCTTGCTTCTTTGTCTTCCAAGAGACAAGACATGCTCCAAGAAAGATGCAGTATCCTGTTAAGGATCTGCCAGAGAAGGTACATGAGCCATTATCAGCATCACAATAATCCACCATTCTAAAAGGGGAATTATTAGGATAAAATAACCCCCAATCTGAAGTCCCTTTCAAATACTTAACAACATGTAAAGCTGCTTGCCAATGTGGTTCTCTAGGACAACTCATGAACTGACTCAGCTGTTGAACAGAGAAAGAGATGTTTGGTCTACTCAAATTAAGGTAGAGCAATTTTCCAATTAAACTCCTGTACTTCTCAGGATCATTCATGATTATGCCTTCATGAGTGGACAACTTGACATGCTTAGGGAAAGGAGCAGTTGCAGGAGTGCAGTTGCTTAAACCAGTGTAATCAAGTACATCAAACACATATTTCCTCTGATTAAGCAGAGTTCCTTTACTGGTTTTGGATACTTCCAGACCAAGAAAGTATCTCATTTCACCTAAATCCTTAGTAGTGAACTCAATATCCAATTGTTGCTTCAATACAGTGATATAATAATCATCATCACCTGTAATTAGCAAGTCATCAACATATACTAATATGATAGTCTGTTTTCCAGGTTTCACTCTTGAAAACATGTTGTAATCTCTAGTGGACTGAATGAAGTCTCTTGCCTTCAAGAATTTTGTAAGCTCTTTGTTCCATTGCCTGGAAGCCTGTTTGAGCCCATATAGAATTTTCCTTCAGGAGCCTTTGTATATCCCTGAGGTGGTTTTAAATATATCTCTTCATCAATATAGCCATGTAAGAAGGCATTATTGATGTCTAATTGGTGTATCTTCCAATTTTGTATTGTTGCCAGAGCCATGAGAAGTCTTACAGTTGCAAACTTTGCAACTGGAGAAAATGTGTGCTTGTATTCCTTTCCCTTGAGTTGTTTATCCCCTCGAGCTACCAATCTTGCCTTCAATCTCACTATTTTTCCATCCCTGTCAAATTTCACCTTGTAAACCCATTTTGAGTCCAAAGCCTTCTTATCATTAGGAAGGTATGCAAACTCCCAAGTTTCATTCTTTTCTAAAGCCCCTAGCTCTTCTTCCATTGCTTCTTTCCACTCTTTGCTCTTTGAAGCTTGTAAATAACTTGTTGGTTCTGTGCCTTTGAGAACATTGTTAAGAGAAACAATGTAGTCTCCATCATAAAACTCTTTTTCTGTCAGCTTGTGAGCAGTGAAACATGGTGACTGATCATCATGATCAACTGTGTTACTTGGTGGCAAAAAGACTTCAAAATTCTGAAATTTGCTTGGAATTTTTCTGTCCCTGGTGGATTTTCTGATTACAGGTGTTACTTGTCCTGTATCCTGCATCAGATCCTGCAAGATTTCCTGAGCTTCATTCTCAGGCTGCTCTTGTTCCTGAGTAGCTTCCTGCTCATGAATTTCTTCCTCTAAATTCTCATCAGCTCCATCTTTATCTTCTCTCAGATTCACTTGAATCTCCTGATTAACTAAGGGAATACTATTGTATAACCCTTTGTTTTCTTCTGCTTCTTTCTTAAAGTGCAAAAAAGGAAAAAATTTCTCCTTGAAGTTTACATGTATGCTGGTGAACACCTTCTTCCTTTGCAAATCATAGAGCTTATATCCATTCTGAGCTACAAGATATCCAATAAGGACAACTCTAATTCCTCTCTCAGCAAATTTGTCATCATTCTTCTTTGCCTCACTAGAATAACAAAGACACCCTATTGTTCTCAGGTGTTTGTAATCTGGTTTCTTCTTCCATAGCCTCTCATAGGGGGTTTTCCATCCTATCACACCACTAGGCAAGATATTAATTATGTGTGTTGCAGCTAGAATGCATTCCCCCCAAAATCTCTTAGGCAATCCTGCATGTATTCTCAAAGCTCTTGCAGTCTCAACAAGGTGCATGTGCTTTCTCTCTACTCTTCCATTTTGCTGAGGAACTCTAGCTATACTTGTCTGGTGAAAGATTCCTCTTTCTCCAAACATCTTTCTACATTCTGACTGAACTATTTCAGTTCCATTATCTGATCTAATGGTTTTAGCTGTTAAACCAAAATGATTCTCTATATAAGAAAGAAATCTTTCCAATATATCTCTTACAACTTCCTTGTTCATCAACAAGTGCACCCAAGTTGCTCTACTATAGTCATCTACTATAGTCAAAAAGTAAGTTGACCCATCTATGTTGGGTGTCCTATAGGCCCCCCATAAATCAACATGCAGCAAATAAAAAATGGCAGAAGCTATGCTAGTGCTTGCAGGTAAAGGAAGTTTATAATGCTTAGAGACTGAACAAGTATAACAACAGAAATTTTTAATTGATTTGCAATTACAAAAATCCAAATGTTTCATCTTAGACAGAGATCCATGTCCAAGCCTAGCATGCATAACATCTAGGGTAATAGCATTATTACAGGGCAAAATTTCAGAATTATTTACCAAACTTGTTGTTAAGACAGTCTTGTTGTTTCTTCATTGCTTAGAGTGAACTTGTACAGGTCATTTGTCACCTTCCCAAAAGCCAAGCTCTCTCCACTAGTAGGGTCCTGAAATACACATCCATTTTCATCAAAAATCACTTTGATGTTGCTGCATCTTATTATCTTACACAAAGATAAAAGATTATTTTTGAATTCTGGCAAATACAGAACATCATGAAGCACAATCCTTGCTCCCAATTTGACTGTTCCTATTTTATTTACTCTTTTCGCATTTCCATCTGGAAGGACCACTTTAACAGGCTTAGATAAGCTTCTCATACTATTGAATAAGCTTCTATTCCCAGCCATGTGGTCTGAAGCCCCGGAGTCAATGATCCAGGACTTGGAGTCAAAATTCTCATGAAAACTAGCCACATTTGAGAAGGATATTATACTAGCAAAATTTCTCACAACATTTCCTTTTGCTTGACTGGTACCTGTTCCCTGCTTCTCTTGAAAAGCCTTCATTACTTCCCTGACTACAGCTGAGATCATTCCTGCATCTGGTTTGCTGCATGATCCAGAACCTGTCTCATACTCCTCCTCATCCAAGGGTGACTCCATTTCCTCATCTATCTTCCCAACATCTGCTGTTGTTTTCTTTCCTTTGTACCAGTCTGGGTAACCATAGATCTCAAAGCATCCAGACCTTTCATGTCCCTTTTTTTTTGCAATAATCACAAGTGACATCGGGTCTAGGTTTCTTCTGCTCTCTTCTCTGATATCTTCCTTCATTCTGCTTTGCAGGAGCATTGTTTCGACTCTCCTTTTGAGCTTGAAATGCAGATGCTTCTGCAATTTCTTGCATTTCATTGGAAACTTTCTTCTGTTTCTCAGTTTGTTGCACCAAATGGAAAGCTTTGTTGACACTAGGAAAAGGATCCATGCTGAGAATATTTTCCCTGACATTCTGCTATCCTCTATTCAATCCCATCAAGAATTGAATCACCCTGTTTGTCTCAACTATTGCTAACATCTTCTTGTACATACTACATGTACACTTAGCAACAATTCCACAAGTGCATTCAGGTATTGCTTCTATGTTGTAAATTTCATCCCAGATCTTCTTGAGCTTACAGTAATATTCTCCTACAGACATGTCACCTTGCTCAAGTTTACCAAGATCCTTCTTGAGTTGATACAGGAGAGGTATATTACTCTCAGAGTACCTCTCAACCAACTCATCCCACAACTGCTTGGAAGTTTCCACAAGGCTCAGACCACCAGCTACTTGATCTGTCATAGATCTGAATATCCAGCACCTCACCATATAATCATTCCTCTCCCATTTGTTAAAATCCTTGTGCCCAGCTGCTGGTTTGGAGATTTTTCCTTCAATGAATCCTTTTTTGTTCTTAGCTCCAAGAGCTAGCTTTACATTCCTGCTCCAAATCAAGAAGTTGTTGCCATCAAAGAGCATTGGAGTCAAAGATGCAGCATGATTATCGGAGTGAGATAAGAACAAAGGATCCTGATAGTTCATCTGAGCATCTGAACTTTCGTTTTCTGGCATTTTGAAAGATCGAAAGAAGGGAAAAACAAGATGAGAACAATAAAAAAATTGAAACTTTCAGGATGATTTAACCTGGAAGCTCTGATACCATGTAGAAATCTGACAGTATGATCAGATTTCTCAAGAATTTCAGAGTATTTTGAACAGTGTGCCTTTCTCTCAAGCAATAATTGGAAGAATGTTTTTCTCTGTATTGAGTGTAAAACGGCGCACAATCCTCTTCGGGATCAGCAAACCTAAAAGGTTACATAATATACACAAAAAACAGCCACTAAGAAGCAGACACCTAGGCTGTACAAAAGAACAGAAAAGAACAGCTAGAGAAAGCTGTACAAAGCTGTACAAAAAACAAGACAACTAAGGCTAAAGGAAAAAATACAGTAGAAATACATATATACTAACCAGTATAGGTTGTATAGGTTTTCTTCAGTATTTGACTCTAAGATTTATGCTACTGTGTTACATTTACAAAGTAATTTCTATCTTTTCACATACTATATTTATTGTGGGTTGGAGACTATTTCGGGATCTGATTTGAACTCAAGTCTGTGCTTCACTGATTCTAATTCAAATCTCCAAGAGTTATACTCTTGAGTTTTAAGTTATGATTGCTTACAAGATGTGTTTTACTTTTCAGCTACCGGTCTTTCATAAAATGGAAGATCAATTTCTGTATGCTATCTGTGGACGTCTCAGTGGTATTGAAGGCGTGTTCATAGCATTGGAAGGTGACCCTGTTCAGCAGCTGCTTTACATCTTTTCTGGTCAATTAGAGATCTTTTCCATTGATGGTCATCCCTCTAGTTGCCTTACTATTGGACCAGGTGGACTATGTGGGCAGGAATTACTTGCATGGTCGTCCCTATCTTAATTATGCAGTAGCAAGTGATTATTGTGTTTTGTTTCTTTAAAGCAGAACTATGTGCCTATTAGAAGTATAATTTCTAAGAGCAACCTTAACCATGAATAAATAAAATTGTTTGGGTCACCCATCAATTGATATTTGATTTTGCATTGATTTAGGCCTTTTGTGGTATCCGACTAACCGTTATTGGAGGAGTACTTCAATTAACATTGCTTCAGAAATTTAAAAACTTTTGTGGTTAAGTTGAATTTTTAGTTATTACTAGGGGTGAGCAAAAAATCAGGGTACCCTGAATCGGAACCGGAACCGGAACCTGTTAGGAACCGCAGGTTCCGGAACCAGAACCTGTTAGGAACCGCAGGTTTCGGAACCAGAACCTGTACAAGAGGTTCCGGTTTCGGGTAGCAAACTAGAGAACCTGTTGTAATAGGTTCCGGTTCAGGTTCTCAATTTGTTGGAACCAGAACCTGTAGGTTACCCTATACCTAATAAAAGTATCACTTAATTTCAAATTATACACTAATCTTACTCAATTTTTAAATAATAAATATCAAAATTACAATTATAAAAATATATACATTAAATTTGTTAGACAACTACTATTAGTTTGTCTTATTTGCAAGTTGCAAACATTATAAATTAGTGACCAATCAGTTTTTTTTATTAAAAATTCCGCGAAAAAATTAGTGAGTATATTATAATACAGGGTACCCTGAATCGGAACCGGAACCTGTAGGTTTCGGTTCCGGTTCCCAATTTCCAGGAACCTGTTCAACAGGTTCCGGTTCCGGTTCTCATTTTGAGGAACCTGTGAACCGGAACCTGTTGCAATAGGTTCTGGTTTCGGTTCCTGAAATTTTTACAGGGTACCCTGTTATGCTCACCCCTAGTTATTACGCCTCAAATACTTGTTTGGTTGACACATGGATAATTAAAAAGTTGAGCTATCTCAATGCATGTTGTTTGATTGACAATTTTATTGAAATTTCCTTATCTCACAAATTGGAGATTTATATTAGTGTTTTGTATCCTTATTTATTGTATAATAGAGATAACGACTCCCTGTAATTAAAACAAATAGACGTATATATACCACTTAAAAGTTGAAATCAATATACCAAAAAAAAAGAAGTTAAAAACCAAACAAATTTTGACACCTTTGCATTACAAATGTTAAATTAAAGGACAGCTGAACTTTATCTTTTGTTTGTACTCCGTATCCTTTTATTTATTTTTATCCTCTACAATCACATCATCAGAGTTGAACAATACACACTACTAAGTACTAAGCTTTTGGGTAGAACTTTGATTGGCAGTGAAGTGGTGTGTGAATCAGACATGGCAACTCGCAAGATTTCTTCTCTGCTCTCTCGTTCTCTGTCTTTGTCTTCTTCTCCTCCCCTTTCTTTTCGTAAGTTTCTTCTCTTTTCTGTCCAACTTTGCATCTTTCATACTCTTCTAAAAGTTCGGATTATCTTTACCTGAAAAATCTGAAGGTATTGAATAATCCAATATCTTTGGAGTGTTTGTATATTAATTTCTGGGAATGAAACAGTATGTAATTAACAAAATTAAAAGCTAATTTTTTAACCAATTACTGAGTTTATTGAGCTAATTGAATTTGAGTAGCCTGAAATTCTGTAAGTAATTTAATGGTAAAATCTAGTTTCTGGAAGTTATACTCTATACGATATAACTTGACTACTATAGCTTGTGGTATTAACTTTATATTCGTTTTGGCAATTATTCTCTATATATTTAGTGCGTGTTGTCTTAAGTTTATTTTGATTATCTGAAATAATCCAAACTTATTTTGCCATAGTTTGTTTATCTAACCTTATCTGAACTTGTATTTCTTGAACATGTCTAAAAGTGAGTCAACATAAGTCAATCAAGGAGAATTTTCCTATAATTGCTTAGAGCCAGTGATACTATGAAGTCTGTCAATATATTTGTAAAATACGGAGTACTTACCATATGTATGGCGATCCTTCCTCTGCATTGTTAATCATGCATGACAGTCCATGAGTTTGTAGGTTTTCACTTTTAATGTCATTATTTGATGCAGTAGTTAATTATGGTTTTGCTTATTACCAAATCAACTGCTGTCAATTGTAAACGTCAACTAGCTGTAATTGTTTAAATGTTTTTATTAAGAACCAATAATTATGCTCAGGTAAAGGCTCGAATTGGGGTAGATACTTTAGTCGATATAGCACAGCTGCTGTAATCGAAGAACCTATAATTCCTAATGTGGATATCAAACACACACAACTTCTGATCAATGGAAAATTTGTTGACTCAGCATCTGGTAATTTTTTTTAGCTCGGTCCATTTGTTAAACTTTTGAATTTATTTGTAGTGTTTGCGTAGTGTTATATACTTGTTTGTATTCAACTTTGCATTAATTATTTTCAGGAAAGAAATTTCCTACATATGATCCTCGGACTGGGGATGTGATAGCCCATGTTGCTGAAGGTGACGCAGAAGATATCAATCGTGCAGTTGCTGCTGCTCGTAAAGCTTTTGATGAAGGTCCATGGCCTAAAATGACAGCTTATGTAACATTTCCCCTGCATCTAACTCTCTATTTCTTTGCTTAAGTTTTTTGTCTTTCTTTTGACTTTATGCTGTAATGTTTGGCAATCATATACTTTTCCTGTTAAATTTCTTCAGGAAAGAGTGCGGATCATTCTGAAATTTGCTGATTTGGTTGAGAAACACAGTGAGGAGCTTGCTGCCTTAGAGACGTGGGATAACGGGAAGCCTTTTCAACAGGCTTTCAAATCAGAACTTCCATTGTTTGTACGATTATTTCGCTATTATGCTGGTAAATAAGAAACATACTTATTATCCTATCCATATATAAATAATTGTATATCGGCTTAAATTTTGAAGATTTTGTCCTGGGAACAATGTAAGGTTGGGCAGATAAAATTCATGGTCTGACGGTACCTGCTGATGGTCCATACCATGTACAAACATTGCATGAACCGATTGGTGTAGCCGGGCAAATCATACCATGGAACTTTCCTCTCATCATGTTTGCTTGGAAAGTTGGCCCTGCCTTGGCATGTGGCAATACTATTGTCTTAAAGACTGCCGAGCAAACTCCATTGACTGCTCTCTTAGTTGGGAAACTCTTCCATGAGGTAATTAGGACTATAGTTGCTGCAGATATTACCATGCTTCTTTGACATACTTTTTTCTTATGTCACTCAGTTTCCATGTCTTAACCATTCTTCCGTGTTCATCTCTCATATATGCAATTTCTACGTCTAGTTGTGGGTATCAGAAACTCTACTGTATAACATATCTGCAGATTTCAAAATACTCTGATATATTACTTGTATAACATTATCAATAACTTAACAAAATATGTTTTCATAACATCTAACTGTTACACCCCTTACACTCCTGGCTTGCAGGCTGGTCTTCCTCCTGGTGTGTTGAATATAGTTTCTGGCTTTGGTCCAACAGCTGGTGCTGCACTTGCAAGTCATATGGATGTCGATAAGGCATTCTTTGACCATACTGACTTTTCTTGATCCTATGATGAGCTACAATATAAATAATGTTTCTTAACATGATTTCTATTGTATTGAATTGATTTTACAGATTGCTTTCACTGGATCTACTGAAACTGGACAGACAGTTCTTGAACTAGCAGCTAAGAGCAACCTTAAGCCAGCAACTTTGGAGCTCGGAGGAAAATCTCCTTTTATTGTATGTGGGGATGCTGATGTCGATAAAGCAGTGGAACTTGCACATTTTGCTCTCTTCTTTAATCAGGTATTTCCACTCCTCTTTGTATTAGTTGTATATAAGAGCTGGAAATATATAGTATCTTCTTAAGCTTTTTGGTGTTCATCATAGGGCCAATGTTGCTGTGCTGGCTCCAGAACTTATGTGCATGAGAGTGTGTATGATGAGTTTGTGGAAAAAGCAACTCAACGTGCCAAGAGACGTTCTGTTGGAGATCCCTTTAAGAGTGGCATTGAGCAAGGTCCTCAGGTATATTCATGTCCTGCTCCCTTTAAGGCCAAGCAATATGAGGTGCATAGAAAAGGAAACTAAGTAATTAAAGCTGAAATTTACCTTTTTGCCAATGTAACGTGGAACTGCAGATAGATACGGAGCAATTTGAAAAAGTTATGAGGTACATAAAATCTGGTACGGAGAGCAGTGCCAAACTCGAGTGTGGAGGTGAGAGATTTGGATCTAAAGGTTTCTTTGTCCAACCCACTGTCTTCTCAAATGTTCAGGTAACGAGTCATCTCCCTTTGCATCAACCTTTTTAGGTAAAAAATTAGCCACAACAATTCTGAGTTTTGGTGTTCTTGTATCAGGAGGATATGTTAATTGCACAGGATGAGATATTTGGCCCAGTACAGTCTATCTTGAAATTCAGGTAAACCTGAGATTTCCTTTATTACATTTAATATTTACCAAAATGTTGTTAATAAGTTCCTGTACTTCACACTCGTCGATGCAGAGTTGTTCAGACTTCAGATAATAGCTCTGATTTGAACATAATTATAACTGTAAATGACAATTTAGTTTTCTCCAGAAAAAAAAGAATCAACATGGTAAAGCTCCAGCACTGATTATCTTCACTATGTCGTAGGGATCTTGATGATGTGATTCGGAGGGCAAACACCACTAGGTATGGCCTAGCAGCGGGAGTATTCACTCAGAACCTCGACACTGCCAACAAATTATCACGAGCACTGAAAACCGGGACAGTGTGGGTGAACTGCTTTGATGTTTTCGATGCTGCAATTCCTTTTGGTGGGTACAAGATGAGCGGTATGGGCAGGGAGAAGAGTGTATACAGCCTCAACAACTACCTGCAGGTGAAAGCGGTTGTCACTGCTCTGAAAGATCCAGCTTGGTTGTAAATTGTAAGTTTAAATTGTAATTATATAAGGCCGTTCCATGCAATCCTGCTAGTCCTTGTCTCATATTTTCTGAAGAAAATACAGAGTATAACTCCAAATTTCCAATATCCTCCCACAATTATCAGGCTTGTTTTCTGTAGACAACCTTACAGCGGCTTTTTATCTGTATATCATTGGTTTTTATGCCGATTGTGTAGTTGCTATTTATACAAACATGTAGTCAGATATAGTCAGTTAGTTGGTTTAGTCCTGTGTATTGCTTTTAAAATCGGGATTTGGATTGTACACCTCTTATTACATGAAATACCAGCCAAGATCAACAGTTGCCTTGACCACAGTAAAACAATGTATTATACGTAGTAGTTATATTATTAATAAAAATATTTACCTAAGCTAGTCTTCAGGGCACAATTCAACCTGGTTGAGAAAAAGGTTACTCGTATTTTCTATATTTTTTTTAATTGCTTATTACTTGTAAATATTTTGCCATGATTAGAAATACTGAACTATAATACTCTAATTAACAAAAAATAAAAATAATTTCTGCATAAAAGCAACATTTGTTCATTGAAAATTTGACGTAGAGTAATTTCAACAATCTAATTAATGGGAAAAAAAGCATAAACTAAAAGAAAACTCATAATACTTAGGCTCCTAAATCTTGCTTGAAAATAACAAAATACTTAAACAAGTCTTATTAATGAATAACTACTAATGTAGTAGTATAAAATAATCAAATTTAAAACTGCATACGACGGATGAGATCGATAGCATTAGTAGCAAGATGATTGAGTGGTGTTGTAGATTCTTGAACTCTTTGTAAGACAACATCTCTAGCCCTCAATCCTTGTAAATTGTTAAGGCAAGTGTTTATAGCCGTAAACACGGGTCTGATGTTATTAATCATGCTTGTCCTCTTCGACTCCTTGTCACTCTTACTACCACCACCCAAGTGGTCCGTGGTGTCCATTGCTGCGTTCAATCCCTTGACCGTGTTAGCGATTGAGGTACTGCAATCATTGAGGGAGTTGGCTTCACGGGTCCAAACTTGAGGTTGTTTCGAGATTTGTGTGATGCTCTTAGACCCTGATTGGGCTGCAGCTATGGTGGCTTCTATTGCAAGGCGAGTTGACTTCTTTGGGGTGCTGTTGATGCGGTCAACGTCGGGGAGGAGGGTTTGAAGGCATAAGGCTGAGTACGTGGCGTCATCGCAGGTGGATATGAGGTATGATGTGGCTGGGGAGTAGCTTGCTAAGGAGCCTGTTACACAAAGGAAAAGAAGGGTCGCTACCAGAAAAAATTGTTGTCGTGCCATTGTTTTGGTTTTTTGGTTGTTGAATTAAAGGATATGATGTTTTGGTTTGATGTGAAGAATTGAAGGTTGCATGAAATATTTATAGGCTTATTTGTTTTGAGTCGGCTAAAGAGATTTAACTGCAGTGGAATTTTATGTCAAGTATAATTCTACAATGTCGGTGCATTATTGGTATTGTTGCAATTCGATTTATTTAAATATGGAAAGATATAGAGTTCATACAACTTAACCAGAGAAGTAGAGATAAAATAAACAAAAGCATGTCACAATAATACATACTCGTAGTCGTAGTATTATGAAAATTTTGTCATGTTAATTACTTATCCCAACTTTTAAAAAGTACTACTTCCTCCGTTTCAAAATGATGTTTCTATTTCGTAAATCGATGCAAATTTTTACCAATCTTTGACCGTAAATATCTTTAATCTCACACTAGCAAAAATTATAAAAATTAGATATTAATAAACTACTCACCAAGTCGAATCAAACTAGATCCCACATGACTATATTTGTTCTTATAGATTAAGTGAAATTTAGAAGATTCTCTTTTTTAAAAAAAGGTCTAAGATTACAAACAACAACATCATTGTGGAACGGAGGGAGTACCTCCATAGTACATTATTATCTTGTATGGTTTTTATTTTTTTTTAATTTTTTTTTACATAAATAAAAAAAAGGTTTATTTATGAAAAGTTATTACTAGTGTTTATCCTCTTAGAAAAAAAATCCTTTATTGGTTTAGTAAATCTCTCTACGCGTAGTCCTAATGCTAATTGGAATTCATTAATTTGTGCATAATAAATAGGCAGGTTATTTGCGCTTGAGTTTCATACACAATACTTTGTCAATTTTTTTTTCTCTTGGCGTTCTTACGTAAAGAAGTACTAATGGCTGAAGTCAGTAATGTTGTTCATAGTATCATGAGCAAAATGACATCATTAAGGTGTGTTTCTCATCCTAAGAAATCAGCAAGCAACATCAAGAAGAAGCAGATTATCAAAACCACCACGTCTTCAACACCGGTTTCTTCTACAAATAAAGGTGTCACGGCTAATCTAGGCGTTGTAACAATTACTCGGGCGAATCAACAAGGCAGCGACAACTCGTGTCTTCCCAATCTCCCTGATGCTCGAGTAGCTATGCCGTCTTATTGTCACAAGTTTAGTTCTAGGATATTGAGTAATATGTATTAGCTTAGCGTACAAGACTTTCTTTAAGTCATTAAGTGTAATTAAGTAGTTTGAATAATGCTCTAAATCAATTTCTTAAGCATTATGTTGGTGTACTTAGGAAAATTGTTTGTAAGCAGAAATTTGTTATTAATCAAATCTAACTTTTGAATTATGACTCACTTGGTTTGTTACTATTAATTTTAGGATCATGAGGCTTTTGTTTTCTTGATTTTTGGCTTAAGGTTTAAGTCAAGTAATGTTCCGACATCTAGCTTGATTTCAAGTTGAGTCCTATTCGATCCAATCACCAAAACTATTCCCAATTTATAATCTTATAATGAGAGAATAATAATTATCAAATTCAAGTTTGAATAATGCTCTAAATCGATCTCTTAAGAATTATGTTGGTTTACTTTTGTAAGGAGAAATTTGTTATTAATTAAATCTAACTTTTGAGGTATGACTTACTTGGTGCATACGTTGGGTTTTTTTTTTTTTTTTTTTTTTATCCTACTGTTAATTTAGGAGCATGAGGTTTTTGTTTTCTTGATTTTTGGCTTAAGGTTTAAGTCAAGTCATATTTGACATTTAGGTTCAAGTTGAGTCATATTCCATCCAATTACCTAAACTATTATTCCCAATTTATAATCTTATAATGAGAGAATAATAATTATCAAATTCAAGTTACGTGGTTTCAAGTAGAATTTTGGTATTAGGTCATGAATTTTAATTTAATGTAATTGATTATGAATCAAGTTTTGCTAGTGAGTCATATTGAATTCAATTATCAATAGGTTTATTAAGATGAATCAACAATTACTATGAGAGTAGACTTGAATGTATGTCGGAGTATATTTTAGAGTAGCCCTAATACTATAAATATGGATAATATTTTTATAAAGTCTACCTTTCCTTGTGTACATACGGAGAATAATTAATTGATTTGGTAGTTATTTAATTTGACTTGCATTGATTTTTGAACTAGTAAGGATACTTAATTAAATAATTAGTTCTAATGTATTTAATCATTCGTTATTCATCTTCAGTAATTTGATAATCCAAGAAACATTTAATATAATTGCTCAAATCAACTAACAGGAAATCCCCCTTATATTTAATTTGTGCCAACAAAATATATTCTACTCCGTAATTAACAATACAATTAAAACACAAGCATATATAAATCAATGGCTAAAAAAATAATCGTAATCAATTTATTGATTGACATATATTATACTTTCTACAATCTACATTAAACCTAATGGAATAAAGTATAAACTACAAACAATTAGGGCTCCTAATCCCGAATCTTGCTTAATAAAAATAACAATAAATTTCGAACTTAATAAATACCTAATAACGTGGTAAAAAGTAGAATTAAATTTAAAACTCCGCTAATGCGACGGATGAGAATGATAGCATTATTAGCAAATTGATATGCGTGATGATAAAGTGGCGTCGTGGTAGAATCTTGAACTCCATTTGAAACATACCTTAATAATAAATTGAGAATCATGTAATAAAATAGAATCCAGTTTAAATATTTGCGTGTGCGACGTAAGAGATCCATAAAACTACTAGCAAGTTGATTAAGTGATGGTGTAGGCTTCGACTCTTGTAAATTCGCAACGCAAGTGTCCGTATCATCATGCAATGGATTATATGTCATGGCTGTGTTGTGATTTGCCATGGCTAAGGAGGATAAGCTCATAGCGCAAGTGTCCCTAGCAAGCAATGGATGAGACATGGTTGCGTTGTAGCTTGCCATTGCGAAGGAGGGTGTAACGGATAGGAAGAGGAGGAATGCTACTAGAACGAGAAATAATTGTTTCACCATTATTTTATTTTTACACGTGTGAGCCCAAATTGGGCAGCCCAATTTGCACTTGTTTGCTGTGATTTTCAGTAAATTAGTGAAAACCCGGTTTTATTAAAAGTTTTTACATACAACCGGTGTGCAGTAAAATACTGAACAACGGCTTTTCGCACGTGTGAACAGTATTTTTTTTTTCCTTTTTCCAAAATAACGAACATCTCCTTCAGCAAGCAACAATGGAGGAGAGAGAAAACTCCAATTTTCCAGATTCAAAGCTGCTTCACCAAGCAACCATGGAGGAGAGAGAAATCTACAATTTTCGATCAACAATGCCGGAAACCTCCAAATCGTCCAATTACGAAAACCTAATGCGCGAATTTCTGCAATTACAAAGAGAAAATCGACCACCATTAACGCAATATCCAGAGAAAACATGGAGTTTCGACCTCAATCAAACATTCAGAGAAGATGAAGCAGAGAATTTCGTTGATGATCTCGATCAGTTTAATGATGATAACATTCAAAACTCAAAAGTTCCAGAAATTCAAATACAAGGTAATAATCTAAACAAATACTAACCTATTGTTTGTTTTTGCTTAAATTTTTTATTTAATTTTCAATAATTAATGCAGATATTGAAAATCAAGGTGTTTTAAATACATTAGAAGATGAAGATCAAGTTATTCCGAACACACTAGATGAAGAAGGACAACCAGTAGATGAAGACGAAGGTAAAATTCTATAAATGTGACATATATTATGGCAAAAGTTACATATATTATGGCAAAAGTTATATTGACTATATGTTTATTTATAAAAGCATTTATGCATGTCTCTTGGTACAAAAGTTACTAATATCATTACAAATGTTACCTTTATTAATACAGAAGTTACTTGTATTATATACCCCTGTACTAAATAACTTATTCTTTATGCATATGCTTAAGTGAATAACCTATATATATAACCCTATGCTCCCATGTTCTCATGCCTCTAGGTACTTGCTTGTGATTTTGTTCATGTTGTAATTGTGATTTTGGTTACAATTGTTACAAGAAAATGCTAAATATCTCTTATTCTACTAATGCACAGATACAAATCCAAAACCAACAGATACCACTGGTTTAGATATGGAAGGATCATTAGTTGGAGTGGAAAGAGACACTTATCAAGAAATTTATGACTTGTACAGTTTACATGCTTCTACAGTGGGATTTTCAATAAGAAAGCATACAACAAGGTATCGCTTACACACACGTATAGTCACAGAGAAATACTATGTGTGTTCTTCGGAAGGAAAAAGACATACTGCTGCAAAGAAGACAAATATGGTTCTAATGGTTGATGAAGATAACAAGGATTTAAAACAAAGAAAACCACGACAAGTCTCCATTACAAGAACTAACTGCAAGGCAAGCCTAAGAGAAAAAATGAATGATGATGGAAAATTTAAGGTGGTGTCACATGTGTTACAACATAATCATGAACTAACTAGAAAGCAGTGGCATTATTTGCATCGATCTGAGAGAGAAGTAACAATAGAAAAGGCAGAAGCAATTAAAACAATGAAATCTGCTGGACTTTCAACAATGGACACATATAATTACATGTGTACAGAAGGTAATGGAGAAGAAAACTTGGGGCATAGTGTTGTAGATCACCTCAATTTCTGCTCAAGACTAAGAATGGAACAAATAGAGGCTGGAGATGCTCAGAAATTAGTGAACATTCTGATCGAAGAACAAAAAGAAGATCCTAACTTCTATTTTAGAGTGAAATTCGACAAAGAAGGTAGAATTTCCAACATTTTTTGGAGAGATGCAATGATGTTAGAGGATTACAAAATATACGGAGATGTTCTTGTATTTGATACAACATACAGAACAAATCGGTAAAACCTTATATGTGCTCCTTTTGTTGGAATAGATAACCATTGGAAAAATTGTATGTTTGCATGTGCATTCATAGGCAATGAAAAAACAGAGTCGTTTGTGTGGTTGCTTGAAACCTTTAAAAAATCTATGGAGAATAGAATTCCAACCTCCATATTCACTTACCAAGACCAGGGTATGGCTACTGCAATTGAGCAGGTACTACTTTTTCTATTTCAATATCATATTCACTGATTCCAGTCTCATTTTAAGTCATTTTTGTGTTCATAACTTTTATGAATATAAGTATTACTTATGTGAGTATAAATGTTACTTTTGTGAGTAAAAATATCACTGTTGTGAGAATAAGTGTTCAAGTTTAGTGACATATCACATTCTGAATGCAGGTATTGCCAGACACAAGGCATAGGCTATGCATATGGCACTTAGAACAAAATGCAATAACACGATTTGGAGCCCTTAAAAGGGATAATGAGTTCAAAAAAATATTCATCAAATGCTTGAAGGGATGTGTGACAGAAACAGAATTTGAAGAAAGATGGAAAGAAATGATACAAAAATTTGATTTGGTTAATCATGCATGGTACCAAAGGGTGTACAATCTAAAGGAAAAGTGGTGTCCAGCACTTAGTAAAGATTTCTTCTCGGCAGGAATTCTTTCATCACAAAGAAGTGAAAGTACGAACCATGCAGTAGGATTCAGAGCTAATAAATCAACAACACTGACAGAATTCTATGGCATCTTTGTAAGAACCATAAAAAGATGGAGAAGTGATGAGAAGTATAATGAGTTTACATGCAGCAAATCAATAGCCTTTACTTCATTGCCACTATCCGGAATGCTAAAGCATGTTGCTCAGGTACTTCTATATTCCTTTATTACATATATCTAAGAACTGAAAACAAACAATATAAGCAAATATAAAAATGATACATGCAAAGGAACATGACTGGTAGTAAGTTATTGCTCTAATGTACAGGTTTACACATTGTCTCTGTTTAGAGACTTTGAAGAGGAATTTGGCTACTCAATGGCGACCACAGTACAAATTCTAGGGAGAACTGAAGAAAACATTATTTTTTATGAAGTATCTCTAGAAGAAAAGCCATGGTCTTCCCAACAGGTAAGTTACATACATGAGAGCCAAACTATATGGTGCACTTGCAAGAATTTCGAAGCTTCTGGTTGGCTCTGCTATCACTGCCTCAGAATTTTACATCTACATTCTATTACAAGAATTCCAGAGAAGTACATTAGCAAAAGATGGACAAAGCTTGCAAAGTCTGAAGTATGGAATAGAATGGAAAAAAAGGATCCAAAACTCCCATATACACCATGGAGACATACAATGATGAGAAAATATTATAACTTAATCTTAAAGAGTCAAGAAAATGAAAAGGCAAGAGCATTCATGGAGGAAAACTTCAAAAGCTGTATGAAAATGGTGGAAGACTTACTTGCGGCTGAAGCTTTTACAGAGGAGGTTGCTGCAAGTGATGACAATTCTAATGTGGCAGAGAGTGCTCAGAGTAACAATAATATTGCTTCTTCATCAACAAGTACAACCATACCCACTATATTAGACCCTAAGAGAGCTGTAACAAAGGGAAGAAGTAAGAGAGCAAAAGGAGCACTTGAAAAAGGGAAGAAATCAAAGCAAAAAGCATTACCAGATCCAAATTCAGAGTTTGGATCGAAGACACCTACTGTGCGACTTTTTTGAACTTGTAGTGAGTTTGGATGAAACACAACTGCAAACTTTTTTGTAGTGAGTTTGGATGAAACACAATTGCAAACTTTTTTGTAGTGAGTTTATTTTTGTTTAATGCTACTATTGACTTTCATACATAATTTTGAATTGTGATATGGAATTGCTCATGAATTATGAACATTTATATAATATTACACTGATACTTAAAAAAGTAATGCATATACTGGCAAAAGTGATGCATATACTGGCAAAAGTGATGAATTTACTAACAAAAGTGACACTAACACTTACAAAAGTGATGCATTTATAGAAAAGTAACACTAATACTCGCAAAAGTAACAATAATACAAACAATGCATCTTCTCACAAAAGTGATACTTTTTACTCACAAAAGTATTGCATACTCACAAAAGAAATATGTCACTCACAAAAGTGATATTTATATTCACAAAAGTGACAATAATAATCACAAAAGTGTCCGTTTTTAAAATGAATAACATGGTAATATATATGATAAACTTCAAATTTTCATTTAAATCAACTATATTTCTGTATGATGATATATGATACACTTATAAAATTATAATCAGAAATATAAATAAATAAAAATAAGAACAATAGATTACCAATATTTAATCATATATATATATATATATATATATATATATATATATATATATATATAATAAAATTTGTACAAACATTTTGAAAATATTAACACTAGTTTAAGTGTCGATATTTATCACTAGTTTCAACCTCCAAAAGTACTTAACTAATTACAACTTCCAAAGGTAGTTAACTAAAAACAACTTCCAAAATTAGCTAAGATTTAGAAGGAGTGTACTTCTGTGTAGCCTTTGTAGTCCGTTTTGCTTTCGGAGCAGTGTCAACAGCAGGAGGAGCAGTTTCAGATTTCTTCTTTTTCTTATCCGCTGCTGCAGCCTTCCTCCTTCCTTCAATTTCAGCAACATATGCAAGATCGCTCTTCTTCTCATTAAATTTTTCAACTTCTGCTAAGACTTCAGATCTTGATTCGTTCATGTCAGACAACACGAGTTTTGCACAAATCTTAGCACGTAAAAATTTCCTCCCAGCAGCCTCACAACAAGAAAATAAAAGGCGCATTAATATGTATAAAACATTAGCATAAACAATAACAAATGAATTAATTCAGATCAGTTTCAAGATCACTCACTGTTCTAAGTTCATCTACAGAAAACAATGTATCACCAACAAAATGCTCCATATGACACATCATATACACACCACAGTCATTATTATCAACCTTACTCTTCCGCCACACTAAATCAGCAATTTTGAACTTGTAAAAAGGGACTTTTTCACTCTTTGGATGATTTCTTCGTGCAAGAAAATCACCAAATTCAGAACACTGAAAAAAAAACAGAATATTAAAAACAACAAAAAAATAAGATTAAAATAGAAACATACTTTAAAACAGACAATAACATACCAGATAAAAAGTCAAATTTTGAAAATATGTAATCATCTCATCACTCCAAATGATATTATCAACATAATGAACCAATTCATTGCCATGATCAATCACAAACAGCACACAATGTTCATCAACAAGAATAGGAAAATAATCCTGAAAAAATAGAACAAAAGTAAGCATAAAGCACAACCATCAAACAGTTAATATATATAAAAAATTAAGATATATACCAAGTCTGCACCAATAACATCACAACCAGAATTTTCATATGTAACCCATTCATCCCAAATTTCGTGCAAATCCGAGACAGCAGAACTATCTTCGTTCCCCTCTGATACATGCAAAAAAGAAAACTAAAAGGAAAAAATAAATAATTGAAAAAAGTAAGAAAACAAATAACTCAAAACAGAAAGTTGCTTACACTTTGCCTCGCACCAAAAAAGAATCTTTGAGGACCACAAGTATCATAAAAACACGATTCATTTAGATAAATGCAGTAACAATCAACTACTGACCAACGAACCAAATTAGGATGCACCAAAGACACCATATCCTCTCTTGGAATGATATCATTAATTACATAGTCAAACAATATTATTAATATCAAAACAAAAAGAAAAAGAAAAAAAAGTTTCAAAAAATATGACAATTAAAAAAGAACTTACTTATTATTAAATAAGTGTTCCACCAGACAATAATCAAGAGCTTCTAAATATAATCGAGGTAATTTTTCACTAAAATCACGAGAATTAATTTTCATAAATGGCGTAACAAACACTACACTCTGACCACCAATTTCACCACAGTCCAAAGAATACAAACTTTTATTCGTTCTCATGACTGAACTGATGGAATTGTGTCTTCGATAAGTGCAATTACTAGATATATCAAGGATCACTATTATGGAGATAATAAGTTCATTCTCTTGGGGGGTCATCATCTGTTGCTAGACTATGAGAGATGTTCTTTGGGCTAGTCAAATGGTCCAAAGCCCGCTAGCTAGAATGGATCCTATGAGGTCACACACAAGGGTATTGGGTTAAGCAAGTTAGAGGCCCATTAATGGGCCTCATGAGCAATTAACTAATCATGAAATGGATTGGGCTAGCATAGTTAGATTGGAATTAAGTTTTGGGCTTTTGACATGGGCTCTTATTTAGAGATGAGATCTATAAATAAGATCCATGCCTAGGGTTGCAAGTAAGCAGTCATAATTCACATACAGTGTATTTTGACATCAAGGCTACCAATCCCAAAGACCCTAATTCCTCTCTCTAACTCACGACTTTCTCTCTCCTCCCCTCGTTCGTACGGCCGGCCACCTTGGTGGCGCGTGTGGTGGTTCGTGGTGGTTCATGGTGGTTCGTTGCTCGCACTTATCCATAGAAGGTCAATTGAAGGGTTCAATTGCAACTAACTAGCATTAGTGGAGGTCTTAATCTGTGCCCGTGGACCAAGTAGAGGAATCACGCTTGAGGTTCTTTATCTCCCAATGTTCTTGCTCGATCGCACGTGGAATCACGCTTCAAAGGTATGATTATATGTTCTTTATGTGTTATGCATTAGATCTTGGGATTAGGTACTGTATGAATATGATTCATGTTTTTCCGCTGCGTAGTACCTATAATTCCCTACATGAACCACCTCTGCCACCACCATCTCCACCACCACCATCTCCACCACCTCCACCATCTCGTAGGGTAGACTTTGATGAAGTACTTGCATCAACTTTAAGTAACTCATCCACTGACTTCATTTTTATAAACTCATTAATTAAGCCATCAATAAGCTTATGATAATGGGGGTTAGACAAAAGTTGTTGTGTTTGAGACAGCTCAATAGAATCAGCATCCAAAGAAACAAAATGTTCAACAAAACGACTATGCACCAACCGTTGTAAAGTACTAAAACAATTGGAATTCACAGATGAAAACAGCTTCATGTTCCTTTTCATAAAAAGAAACGCCTCATGCAAATCCTACACATTAACAAACAATTATATCAGAACAGAACAAATGTTTTATTAAAGAAAAAAAAAGAAACATACATCAGTTGCAGCACTTTTGATCTTAGAATCAGTTAATACTCCTTCAGGTAAATCGAAAGTCACACATCTTCTATCATCATCAATAGGAACCGCACCAACTTCACCCTTACTTAAGTTGTTAACATTCGAATCAACACGCTTAGCAGAAACTGGATAAGTCAATTCATTCAAAACCCCCTGACCAAATCCACCAGCCTTCAACTCCAAGGACACCCTGTTTCTCACTTTTTTATCTGTCCAGTGATGGATAAGAGGAATAGTTGAGTTCTCTACTACACCTTGGAAATTCAAACAATGAAAATACATAATCTTAAGCAACAACAAACATCCACTAATACTATCTTTAGCCTCAGAATTTTTGTAACTAACAACAGAATTCATCAACTTTCTCAAAACAAATGAACACCAATCAAGATTTTTAATCTGATCAACATCATCCACAGCATTAACTAACCTAAAATTAACAGTCCTATTAGCGGTAGGAACAAGCATACTACTAAGAGCATGCATAACAAATAACCTCTTAAATTCATCACCTCCATCCACCAACTCCTTGATCCTAGTTTCTAATCTAGCCAAAGGTATCAACTCCTTAACACCAACATCAAAAGAAGATCTCCATTTATTTTTCAATGCACTATCATCTTGAGATTGACCTTTGTAACTACCCTTCATTTCAGGAACCTCACGACCTTCTACCTTAGGCAAACCAAAAACATCACACACATCATCCTTAGTCACAACAAACTCCTTACCATCAGCTACACAAAACATAAAAGTATATCCATTAAAACTCTCAACAAGCCAAGGAAGTATACCTCCAACCATACTCTCCACACGTAAAGACAACAAACCACCAAATCCAACCTCTTCTACATGTTTTTTTTTAAGTCGGAGAAAACCCACTTATAACCTTAACTAATGAAGAAGGTCTACAACGACATGTAATTTTCCTATCAGGCCTGAAAAAACAAAAAAAAAAAGATGCTTACCATTCAAAAATGATAATAATATACTTATATACTGAAATTTTAATTATCATATAAAATTAAACATGAATTATGAACATTTATACAAATTTTTATACTTATTCTCACAAAAGTGACAATCATAATCACAAAAAATGATACTCATGAGAGTCATGACGCTCATTAAATGAATATAATACTCAAAAAAGTGATTACTGTCAAAATTTTCACAAAATGATACTTGCACTCACAAAAGTGACATTGATACATACTAAAGTGAAAGATATACTCACAAAAGTAACACTTAATATATTGACACAAAAATCACATAAAAACAGTCCTATTAATCAAAGTTACCTATACTCTTACAAAAGTCACAATTCCATTCACAAAAGTATAGCAAATATACAATATTCTAAAACATAAAATCTTACTCGTCATCCTCTTTTTCATGCCTCTTCCTTTTATTTCCCTTGGATGTACTTCCTTCACCTTTCAACATCTTTTTTCCTCCTGCATCCATTTTATTTACTGCTTTCTG